AGGAAAGAGCGCCGCGTCAAACAATATTGACTCTGACAGTCAACTGCAAAAATTCTGACTTATTGCCGGCCTGGGAATATTTTTGCGACTTCTGAAAACTCGGTCGTGCAGAAGTTAAAGCAAACCTAATACAGTACAGTTTTAAAAGCACTGCAAAAGCCCGTTGTTAAAGTTGAGTAGATTTGAAAACCCCCTTAACTCCGTGAACTCATTTTTTCATTGTAAATCAATTTGATTTGTAAAATAAAACAATTTATTTCATAAAACGATTCCCGAATGATGTTTTAGATAAACTGCCACCCCATGTTAAAAAAATATATACATATAACTTCATCACATAACTCGAAAATGTTTTGTTCCTCTAATATAACCCATTTTTCACAAAATTAAGAAATTAAATTGGCCATCAAATTCTAGGTCTTGAAAACATCATCGCCCCATCTTTTTGAGAAAAAAAAATATATAACTGATCGTTTACAATCCCAAATGTAACATGGTGCCATCTCTGAACAAATTCAAGACCCAATATTTTCACGACAGCATTAATTTCAGCACTAAATTTACTTTGTACAATTTACATGTTAACTTATGCACCTTTTAATAAGAAAAAAAGCCAACGACCCATTTTTATTCTTTACAAAAAGCAGCTCTATATCTAATTTTCTTCGCCATTCAAGTAGCAACGCAGTAGCCTCGTAAGTACTAATTTTTTACTGTGCTTTAGGGGATTCTAAAGGAACGTGCGCTAAGAATCCATTGTCAAAAGCAAGCACAATGCGAAAGTCTCAGGGTCGTTTCTGCAAGGAACAGGGATTTGCACAAAAATGCCTCGGAGAAATTGAACCCAATTTGATGGTATCTCGACCCCCTAATTTCGCCAGTCAGCGGTCAAATTAGGCAGCAACCATGCGGACTACGAATTTAACTATAATTCGATTGTGAAAACCTTCACCTACAAACAGAGACGGTTGTACAAGAAATGTTTCCGATATATTTTTGAACTGAAGGATTTTGTCAAGATTTCAAGTCGGCGCATTCGCGCAGTCCCAGCGTGTTTAAAATATCGTAAACTTGGTATTTATTTATAGTCGTCCAATTTCACATTCCAAACCTAATTCCTACAAAAAATACCCCCAAAATATTATAAATATTGATTTCACGGGTTTATACTGTAATACAATTGCAGGCCATGTCTCATTTTATATGTCACATTAAGCCCTACGTTTTAACTCTTAAAATTGCTGAAGGTTTAAACGTTTAAATAGTTTTCAAATCTTTTCAAAATACCCCCAAAATATTATAAATATTGATTTCACGGGTTTATACTGTAATACAATTGCAGGCCATGTCTCATTTTATATGTCACATTAAGCCCTACGTTTTAACTCTTAAAATTGCTGAAGGTTTAAACGTTTAAATAGTTTTCAAATCTTTTCAAAATAAACACCTCGGTCTTCACGGACGTTTAAGGCCTATAGATGTTTCTGTGACTGACAACATTGAACAGCGATTGATGACAGTTTAATGCGCATGCGTGGCCATGGGCAGGCACGTTCGCTGCAACACATCCATTTTATGTTATTGTGGTTGACAAATTTCAAGTAAGAAAATGTAATTTAGCACGTATTTATAAATCGGATCACGCATAGAGAGATATTCACAGTTATCTGCAATGCTTTCCCAACCCCATCTATACGACCGTGAACACTCTTATGATGCAAGAGTAAGGATGTCAATCAAAATACCACAGCAGCCACGGTCTCCCGCTGTTGTATGGTTTCTAGACAGAAGGCATTTTTTTTCCATCTTCCTAACCCCAACTCCAACTGTTCAAAAACACCTGGTTCAACATTCCTCACCGCAAAACATAATAGCCTAAGCGATACCGTAAAATGTCACAGAGGTCGTAAAATTTTGTTTCGACTCAAAGCGACCATAATCACACAACTTTCAATGGTTGCTTTTGAGTCCTGCATGTTTTGAATTCACAACATCAACACAAATTTTGCTACAAATTGAAAACAAAAATACGCAGGAATGCACAGATTTGACCTCAAGGCCGCAAAAAATGTCTTTCAGGGCTTCATTTTCACCGCTGTTAGCAGATTATCATGCTGGCAAAATTCGCAGGGTGTCGGCATTAGCAGGATTTAACTTTGTCCTCTCGAGAGTTGTCTCTTGACTTAAAAGAAGGCCATATCGCGTTATAGGATTAATAACAGTTATTAATCCTATCACGCGATGTGACCTTCTTTCAAGTCAAGATGACAACTTTAATCCACGTCCTGGGAGCTCGAGAAAAGGCAGTGGATGATTCTGGATCTTAAAACTTAGAATTTCTGACGAAGACAAGAATCTTGATGCGTGGACTCTCTTTTCACTGAAGCAAAGTGATAATGTAAAACCAACTTTGTGTCTGTTTGTAAAACAAGGTAGTGGCGCAGTCAAGAATTCAGTGATTTTAGTAAAGGTTTTAGGATGACAGTCTTTTTATAACAAGTCAACTTGCTTAATTTTACAAACAAGAAAATCACTTGGCACCAAGGGCGGATCCAGAACACAATTTTGGGAGGGGCCAAAAAAATGTTTGGTCCCCCAAAAAAAGTTGGTCAAAAATTACGGCGTGGGGTTCGGGGCCCGCTTAAGGGCCCCGAAAAAAATTTGGATTCTAGATGCTCTGTGGTGCGATCTGAGGCAATTTCTGACCACTTTAACCAATGTTTTTTTGAGGAAAAGATGGTTGTGTACTCATTGCCTGCCTTTATTGCGATGTCACATAAAAAAAAAAAAAATTGGTTTCGTTTTGGGGGGGGGGCCATGGCCCCCTTTGGCCCCCCCCCCCTGGATCCGCCCTTGCTTGGCACGCATTTTGTTGGTCAATCCCAACATAGTTATGAATATAAAGGTAGCACATCGAAATTGAATCTTTGTGATTTCCAACGATCATTCAATTTGCTGATTTTTGGAAATGAAGAATGCTATCGACGAAATCACTGCTTTCACGAAAAGTGTAATATCCACTGGCACTGAGATGAAACTTCAACAGGTTATATTTTGAACATTCTTTTTTTAGATTTTGAGTGGTGTTAGTATTGGAGACGAACAAAATGCATGAAAAGCAAAACGATCCTTGTTTTGCATTCAAATCGCAACCAGGCCGATAATGGTAAAGTTTTGAGTCTCTTCCTAAATTCGTGGGTTCTCCTGGTATATCATCAAGGCTCCCCCACCTCTAAACCTGGATATTTATTCTAGGCTACGTCAGGCTTCCGAGCTTATAGTAGCGCACTTTTGAGGAATCCTTGGTCTCATTATCAGAGAGCATCACAATAAATGACTAACCAAGAGTTTCACTGTGAGGTATGGTGTCTTTGGGCTGAGGTATCTTTCCAATCTTCTAGTAGGCCTAGCATCTGAAAGTAAAATCTTGACTCAAACTCCACTGAAAGCTTTGCACTTATCAGTAATTGTTTCCCCACCCCTCATCTGGGATGCCCCACCCAAGATGTGGGAATTGTCACTTTTGAATTGACCCAATCCCCACACTTGGGGCAACATTTATGTGACAATCTCCAACACACATGGGTGGAGCGCCCTAAACTGGTTGCCTTTCCATCTAGTGCTCTAACGGTAAAAATGTTCGTGATAGCATGGTGATAGTGACCACAATCTCCACCCGGGGGCTTGAAAAACGTGGCCAAACACTGACATAAGACTCAGTGGGGCATCATGGGGAGGGGGAGGGGATAATTGATAGGTAGGGGAGACCGGGGATGAACGTTACAAAATTTACATTTTGCGCCAAATAATTGTAATGAAAGAACTCTAACACTCCATCTTGGGTATGTGGGTAGCCCATTATGTTTACTATAACCTGAAGTATACAAAACAAGAAAACATCAAACAACTAATTAACTACTAATTAATTAATGAAGGTAAATTTTTGTAACAACCCACCCCGCATACCGGGTAAGTTGTTACACCATACGGGGTAAGTTGTTACACAGTTGTTACACCATAGGGGTAAGTTGTTACAATATGTAAACAACTTATATCCCTCATTGTGTGGTACAAAAGTAAATACCATCTCATTCTACTATCAAGAAAGCAACTGCTTTGTCACTTAAGGTGTATAATTAAGTAACTACTTGTTCATTCCAGCAATAAACTGAACATTTGTTTTAATTCGAAACACCTGAAATATAGCTAAAATGCCTCTTTGTGATCGATAAGGATCACCGACAATTTAGTCACTGTCTGTGTTCATCATTTCGCATTCATCACACAGGTAGCTTTTCCTTTACATTCTGTATGGGACCATCCTGAGCAGTCCATGCACTGGACCCATTGCTCTCCAGGTGCAGAGTTGGAAAACAAGTCATCACATTCCAGACACATGTCTTCCTTTTGTAGGTTCTTGGCATCATTAATACAGAAGCTCATTCTGTAGGTAAAGCAAAACAGACAAATGAAATATTTACAGCTGAAAATATACACAAAATATAGTTCAACATACGTAAAATGTAATTGGGGTAAGTTGTTACATTGACACGGGGTAGGTTGTTACAGTGTAACAACCTACCCCGTAGGGTATTTTACACATAAAATCTACTGTAACTCAACCTTCAGGCAGAATTACAGGTCATGACCTGGGGATATATTAGTGACCTAAATTTACTATATTTACAATATCAAGTTAGCGTTATGCACCTCCAGTTGTTAGAGCTATTACGAAATTCAAGTTTTGTCAGAAAGTTACTAAGAAAGGACAAAAAAGGTTTTTTTTACTTACTTTTTGAGTAGAAGATTGGAGAAAGCTCTCGATCAGCAGTATACCCTAGCTACCTGTCGGCAACATATGGATGGTAGTTAGCCCGCCCTCTCCTGTTCCTGCTTTGCACACTGAGAACTGTAACAACTTACCCGTGTAACTTCCATCCCCGGTCTCCCCTACAGTGGAGACAAGAGTTGTGTGATCATAACGCAAATTAGAGACTTACCTTCTCGCAGAGGGACTGGCAGGGCGGTCTTGGATCATCCCGTTTTCTCCTCGGACACTCCGGGAAGAGTGAAGCACACAGGAACACCCTGATATACGGCGAGCAACCAGACTCAATCAGAGACCGATAGGTCTCCACTGCCTGCCGGGCCAACTTCTGGTTGGTGTGGCCGAACACGTTGGGCAGGGCGGTGCGGTTGTACGGCAGCCCGACTCCCGTGCAGAGGTTCTCCTTGATACGGCCGCAGTCCCGGCCTTTGGGCTTCTTGCGGATTCGGACCCTCTCTCCGCGGTCACGGGCCCGGTCTCTGCCCCTCCCGCGCCCCGCCGAGGCCAGAAGTATCTCCGATGACAACAGGAGTACCAGGAGAAGGATCCAAGCGCGCCTCATCTTCATTCAACTTCCCAAAACCTCAGTTTATCAGACAAACCAAAATTAGCAGGGATTCGATCCAGCAATTGGTTTTATGGTCTGCAGTTTCAATCACCCTGAACTGCAAAAGTAGAATTATTTGTTTATCTGATGAGAGCGATAGTTGTGAAAGAGTCTGTCAGAATGATTGAGCACGCGTCTGATCGCGTTGACGCGGTGGCAGCAAATGAAGTGATTTAGCCAGCAGTGCCTTGGTCACCGTATGCTCAGGTGAATACCGTGCAGTCCAGGTGAGTGCGGTTCTCTTAGTTATTGTGTTCGAACTCTGCGCCGCAATCGTCAAAAAGAACAAGCATATAACCAGGCCTTTGAGCAAGGAGATTCCATTTATGGCAGAGGGGTGACCCATCACAATGAAACCAGGCCTACATAATACTGTAATGGATGTTAGAGCACTTAGCTCTGCGGTTAAATAAGAACAGCAAGAACTCGCCCCTGTTCTTATTTTGTTGGCCTTGAATAATATTGGAAACCATACAAAAGGAACGTACAAGGCAGGCTAGTGTAATTTGATTATGAGATTTCTCTTTTGAGATTTGTGTGGTTAGAAAGATGAATAGGTATTTTTAAGTCGATGTCTCGGTCGTAGTGTAAACTCATCTTGATGTCTGAGTTCCTATTTTGATTTTGTATTATGCATAATATTATATTACGCATTCTAAAATCGAATCAAGATTTGAGTTTCATAATGAATCTAAAAATACTTTTGAATACCATTTCTTTATGTCTATAATGTACGTATCAAAAATTATTGGACACGTCTGAACTACTTACACATTAACGTGACACTGTTCGCCATTTTGCAATGGGACGTTGCACAATTAATTACGTCTATCTCGGTCAGGGGATTCTTGAAGCTAGATTTGTAACCGTTTCAACTTCCATTTTCGACAAGTGACATGAGCCGTGTATAACGTGTATAATGGGATCTAAGATAGAAGAACAAGAAAAGTAACAAAACAAAACAAAATCTGAACAAAACCAACGGCATTTCGAAAGCATTTCAGAAAACCAAAATAATAATTAAATTAATCACCCCCACGCCTCAAGGAATGATGGCCATCCGGGAAACATTTTTACAAGTGAATGAAATGTTTGTTTGCCGAGTCTTATCCAAGTTGCGCACTCTGAAATATCACGTACCTTCGAAACAAAGATATTTTTACTGAAAGTGTGGACGTACCATCCTTGCCACAGGAATTCACTCCCAGTAATTTATTAAGTCACTGTCCTTTCTGCGGCGTTACTGCGGCTTAAACTCCCTCTCAAAACTCCTGCAGATTTACAAGGTGCGAACCAACCGTCTGTTGATGTTGAAAACCCTAGGTTTTGATTTAGGGACTGGGATACCCTCAAGACAATATTGGGCGTCTTTTTGATTTACTTGGTCTTGTGGTTTCAGTACTTTCGGACGATGAAGATTTATATTTTTTTGTTCTTGGGGTATAATTCTCTGTGGGTAGTTTGGTTTCGGGGTATCGCAATTCGACGAGTCGAATAAATTCTGGCATGTCGGGTTTGATTACCGATGGAGCATGGTAGTTGAAGGGGTTTTAGTCTAAACTTTTCTGACCATTTATGATTTACGGATCTGTTGATTTCAAGGGTGCCTTATTGTTTTTGTTGACGCTGGTGGGGGGGGGGGGGGGGGGGGAAGCTGGGGTGCCCCTTGTGATTTAAGGCTGAGACGGGAAAAAAAATACGAAATGTTTTGGTTGATAGCCTGAGTCCAAAATGAGCTACAATACACTGCATATCACAGCAATTCATTCCAAGTTTTACAGATCTGAATGGAATCGATAGAGCTGTGGTTATACCGGCAAGTAGCCATTATTACAGAAACTGGATTTTGCTGTACAAGATCGAAACATCCGTTTTAGTTGTTTGAGGAAATATATGACCAATTATAAAGACGAAATTCAAATAGCTTGAAACCGAGGCTCTCTCGTGCTAAGCCATTGTATGAACTGAGGACCTTATTAAAATCCTCTCAACAAGACAGCACCGAGGCCCTCGATCGGTTTTATTGCCAATTTGGAATTCCTCTGTTGATGTTTCTATCACATGGGCCATGTTTTGAAAGAGAGGCTCCCGCAGGCAATCAGCCATTTGACCAGATTCTTGCGTTAAATTTAAGTCTTCTAACAATGACACCAGCTGAAGAGTCTGTTTCGCAAATATAGCCTCGCTTTGGTTCCAATATGGCGGTTCAGAGCAAAATAACAAATTGATTACAAGAGCAGTCGCTTGTTTTGATCACGATGTTCCGGCCCATGCACAGATTCCCGCGTTGACTGACCTTGGAATGACCTCACACTGACCCAAAGGTCAACCCATCTCCGACCCGCACTGCGGGTCACTCAATTCACAAAGAGCTGAGGCTGCTGAAATAATATCATGCCAAAAATCATTCCAATTTTACATCAGCCATTTTGTCCCATCCATTATGCAGCTGTTCGTGGATACAAAACATTCGAAGGCATACCCTGACAATTTTGCATTAGACCTATTTTTTATTGCCGCTTTCTTCTTCACAATAGAGATCAGGGATTCGGATTCCTGACGGTGCGCAGTCCGTTGTCATAGCAACGCTTTGCATTTGCAAACCCCGACCGGTTTTTTTTTTATCTCAGTGTCCCAATAATACACCGTGATTAGATTGAGTTTCTATACATACGCCAAGGACGTTTATTGTCAAACCTACTTGCAGACAGCCGAATTAAGGTCTGAAATTTTTCATTTTAATTTCTTTACGGCAAACTAGAGATATTTAAGCAATGTTGACGGTTTATGGAGAATTTTTTTCCCCGGCCCAGGGTGGCTGTGACGATTTAATTTCCTACGATCGTCTGAATCGTTTCAAGACGCGAAGAAAATCTCTTATCGGTAATTGGACGCGACTTCTGCTGTTGGGGAAAGTACGCGCGCTATGAGAAAAAAAATACGTATGAAATAATTGATGCGATTCTAAAACCAATTTATCACTGTCAATTCTCCATACATTTTAAATAAAAATAATTTGGCATTCAGATTTTGATTGAAAGCCAATGAATTTGTAAGTACGGATTCCAAGATTCCAGTTCCAAGATGAGTTATGAGTAGCGATTTTTTTGACACTGATAAAATTGACATTGGCAGCAATGAAGACAGAGGTGGCGATGACATTTCAATGGCCACCTTTCGATGACACTTTCAAAGGACACCAAATATTCAAGGCGACAATGATACGACGACAATGCTGTGGTGACAGTGTTGACGACACTACACATCGATGGCAACACATTCAGAACTGAACATATTACGACCGATGACAACATATTTACGGGGGTTACTTAACAACGACGATGACATCAATGACGATTGTGACACTGTTTAACGGCAATAAAGACAGCAACGATTCCGACAGTGGTACTTCAGCAGGATCGGTTAGCCGTTCCAAACAAGTCCCAGACGACATTTAGGTAAACAACATGTGTTGCACTATTTATTTTAAGTGATAAAATTATTGTACCCAAGAGACGTCCATTCGGGCAAAAACCACTTTCACAATGAAAACACTTCCAACATTACTACACCGCCTATGGATGTCAAAGTTCAACTTAATGTACCACGAAGCTTCTAATAATGCGAGACGTTCTGCGAGACAAAGTGCCGAAGAATTTCATAATTTCTCCGCCGATGACTAGGGATTGTTTGTCTTTCTCGACTAGGTGCCGAATACCAGCATCCATCACCTCCCTATAGTCCCATCAAACGCACGACCCTGACACCCTGAATTGTTTCATACGAGGATTAGGTTGCGCCCGCGAACTTGGGGTCGTTTATTCCGATGTGGGTATTTATAAGCACATTTTTGACATTCGGTTGTCACATAGGGACGCGTTCTTGCCGGGGGTGTGAAGTTAAAGGGCAGATTTAGCTTAATTGATTTCAGACACGGGTAAACATTAAAGGCATACAGGATTCTTTACTTGCATGGGATTTGTTAGTGTCCAATAATATCACCACTCAAAATCCAAAGAACGTTTAAAACCTAACCTGTTGAAGTTTAGCAAAAACATGCGCAACCTTCTGATCACGAAACACGATTCGTCCATAGCACTCTTTAATTCCAAAAAAAATCAGTTGTAATTGACCGAACGTTGGAAATCACCTACATTTCTCGATTTCTTCTAAATGAGAGCAAGCCAGACGGAATAATTTCCCAGGGTGTTTAGTACCACTACGATTTTTAATCAAAGTAAGCTTTTTTAGACAATAATTCGGCAGGTTACTGTTGGGATCAATACAACTGATCCTATATGCATTTAGCTCAACTGTGCTTGTTGTTGGAAAGAGTAATGTTTATAAGAGAGAATTTGACTGGACGGGGAATTGAACCTGCGACCGCCAAACACCGTACCGTTGCATTACAAAAAATAACATCATGTGCATCGCAATGTTTGTCTCAATTTGTCAATTTTTTTTTTAGATGTGCTTGTCAGGAGCAACAAAGATATTATAAGAACTACGAAAACTGACTGGAAGTGGATTTGAACCTGAGACCTTCTGATCACCACACCTATGCTCTACAAATAGATATCTCTCACATGACGTCACTGCCTACAGATTGTCACGTGCATCGGCATTTTGGGCGTCAAATTTTCGTGACGCGCATCAGCTGTGCATGTGCCGTATGTCCATTGATCTCCGTCTTACTATATAATGGAGATCAATGCGTATGTCGAAGAAATGCCAAGCATGCGCTCGTTTGGAACATTTTGCACACTGCGCGCACACGCAACTGATGGCGTTGAATACGCTGTTGTAATTTTCCTACTAAGATGGCTGTCTATGAGAGGGGTCTATTGAGCAATCCATGTTGGCAGTTCCCCCACTTTTCAAATCTGTGGGTTTTTTGGGACAGAATTCTGCAGTACGTCTCTAGGTGATTTAGTAGCAACAAGGCAATAACTTCGGCATCATAAATAACTAGTTGAGAAGAAGATGCGAAGAGGTATGAATTATTCTAGTCCCGTTAAAGACACGTTCAGCCACCCCTGGGTCGCGCTTGGACGGTGTTCAAGACCAGCGTGCCAGAACGCGTGATGTCGACGGGGCGTCGCGCGCTGTCACCGGGCCGTGTTGATTGACAACGCCACGGTACTCGCATCCACGGCATCGGACGAGCTGAGTTCACCAAAAGTACTCCGACATTGCACAAACTGTTGTGGAATGGAGCTGCTACGCTTAAACAAAAATTACTTAGCGAATGTTAG